GCTCAAATGTGGCCAAAAAAATGAAATAGGCCGCGCTCAAATGTGGCCAAAAAAACGGATTAGGCCACATGGGGGGGTAGTCTAAAATAAGTGGGGAGGTTGTAGTATATTTATACTACAACCTCCCCACTACTTAAACTGATAAAAACTGGTGCATTACAAATTTTACGAAGTAGTTTAACAAAATTTATTTTAGATCATTCAGCAGGTATTAGAGGGCTTGATATTATTGATTATATGGATTTGAATTTGTTTATTAATCATTATAGATTTAATAATATCTTTCAGGATCTTTATGAATTAGATTATATTGGTTCTAAGAGTAGTGCATTTTTTGATAAATTAGTGAATGTTTGTAAGAATATTCAATCATTAAAAATATGTTACGATAATAATGACAAAAATATATATAAATTGGTACAGTTAATTAAAGCACAAAAGAAAATTAAATATTTAGTTATTAAATCTGGACGAACTTTACCAAATGAATTAAAAGAAGCAATATTAATGCATTCACAATCAATAACTTTTTGTGAATCTTATGATTATGGAGGAAATAATTTGAAAAATCTTTCACTGCCAAATATTGAATATGTGAAGGTGGATAGTACATATCAACCAGCCCTATCAGGCTTGTCAGATTTTATTAATATCAATGGAAAAACTCTTAAAAGTCTGGATGTTAATGGTGTTCCAGAGGAGGATATTGAGTTTTTGGGAAGGCTGTTTCAATCAATTGCACAATCTTGCAAAAATTTAGAAGATTTATCTATATTTTATGATAATAAGTTAGATCAGGAATTAATGGAAGTATTTGATAATTGCGTGAAGTTAAAAAGTTTTAGATTTGATCATACTTGTTTGTCTGAAATGTCTGGAATAGATGGCAATAAGATATTAACAGTATTAAATCAAACACTACCAAAAAAATTAAGATCAATAATTTGTGCTTGTGATGTATATAATATTAATGACTATTCATTGGCTATTCTAATGAAGAATTGGAGAGGACCCAAACCTTTAACAATGAAATTTCA